GAAAATCATGAAGGGTAAAACCTTGTACTAGTAGCAGATATGGTCTTGGATAACTAAATATGAACACTGGTCTTACTGAGATATTAGGAATCTGTTCATGCGATGATTCTCCACAGGCCTCTTGGTATAGATCTGTCATCTGCATAGATGATAAAGCAAATCACAAAAGGGTAAAACCTTGTACTAGTAACAGATCTGATCTTGAATAACTATATATGAACACTAGTCTTACTGAGATATTAGGAATCTGTTCATGCGATGATTCTCCATAGGCCTCTTGGTATAGATCTTTCATCTGCATAGATGATAAAGCAAATCATAATAGTGTAAAATCTTCTACTACTAACAGATCAGATCTTGGATAACTAAATATTAACCCCAGTCTTACCGAGCTTGCAGTAGGAACCCGATCAGTCCTGGACTGTCCATAGGCTTCTTGGCGCAGGTATGTCATCTGATTACGGACAAAATTCATCTCTATCCTTTCTCGAAGATCTTCTAAGGCCTCATAACAGATAGTATTGAGGTAGAGAGAAATTCCTTCAATAGCTTGGTTCTGAAAGTCACTTCTCGGTATAGATCTGGCCTCTGAACCACCGAACGCAAAATGGAGAACTTCCAGAAAACGTTTTGCAGAAGAAACAATTGCGCGAAAATGGTTGTCACCAAGAGAGTATATGTGCTGAAGGTAACCAACTTGGCCATTCCCTTGTTGGAGCCACAACCAAAAGGCAATTATCTCCATGGAAAGGGAAGACTCAACTTGAAGACCAAGGACCAAACGAAAGAACAACACTCGAAGTAGCATATAGGAAGAATTTGAAGCATTATTCAGTGTTGGTGCCATGGAAGGTGTGGAAGGCATACAGGAGTGTATAGAAGAGTTGGTAGTTTTGAATCAACAAAGACATACGGGGAAGAAGAAGGTAGGAAGAATAAGGTATGTGGACTTGCTTATCATTTAAGTAAATCAAGAAGGTTCAAGCGGATGTTGATTGAGAAATTAATGCCTCCCAAAGTATGAGTAGAGGATAGGCAGAGGCGACAAAAAAAGCAAGTTGTTGACAGTCTATACTCATTAATGGCAGCCCCATTATAGCCACACTTGCCAAATAACTGCTGATATTTTTTTTTGCATGCATCACCTTTCTAGTAATCTCATACTGTACAAAATCACCAACTCTATCATGCGACATATAAAAAATATATGAAAATATTCATTATTTAATGCTATTTAAGGCGCTCCTATGTATATACTTAGGCTGCTTGTAATGGGGTGTATCATATACTAGTATTATGCATATGATACTAGTGTATGATAGTACATCCGTAATGCATAGTATCATATGTTGGTATTATAGAGGGCTATATTTAATATGATACAGTATCATGATATGATACTCAAACATCTCTTTCTTCATTTAATTCTACGTCACCTCATCAAAAGTGATTAGTTGACATGCATGATACTACCTATGATACTTCCATTACGGGCAGCCTTAGGACCGAAAAAAGACATATGCAGTTTGTACTATGTGAAAAGCTACCCACTTTATGTTGGCAAATAATATATGATCATTAGTTACCTGATCCCTGAGCTAATGCCTCATCTTTAGATTTTTTTGTTCCATAATTCCTTCTTCTCACAACCATCAATCCCATCGAATTGCCTAGATGTTTTGCACTATCTGCGAAGATGGAGAAGACTACTGGAAACACTCCCTGATTAGCTGCACAATGGCACGGTGTGTGTGTGTGTGCATATGTGCTTTAGTTGATGAAGAGTTCAGTGAGCATATCTTGAGAAGTGCCGCTGGTGACCCACGGGAATGGCTAATGGAGCTCCAGGATACTGTTAACTAGTGAAGAGTTCATCACAAGGTGCTCATTATTTTATGGGCGATCTGATCAGCCAGGCGTAAAGCAATCCTCGAATCAACTTTTCAGTTGCCGTGTAATAATCATCGTGTTTGCTAATGGACTTATCAGTGAGCTCAAGTTTCTAGCAAAGAAGAATGTAAAGGTAGGTAATTCTCCAGTGAAAACCAAATCGCCCAGTGGCATCTGCAAACTTAATGTTGATGGAGCGATGACGAATTCATCAAACAGGAGATCAGCTAGTGCAATTTGGAGAGCGGAGGATGACTAGCATGCACACTACCGGAATCGGCATGTTTGCCAAGTGCATGCTCGTTCGCCGAGTGTCTTTTTTTCGGGCACTCGGCAAGCAAACCCTTTGCCAAGTTCATAGGAAAATACACTCGGTCAGCTCCTGGTTTGCCTAGTGTTACACTTGGCAAACAAAAAACACCGACAAAAAATTATTATTTTTTAATGTTTTCATTATCTTTGCCTAGTGTTACACTTTGTTTTGTTGTATTTTCATTATATTATTTCTTTCCTTTTCTATATTTTCATTCTTTAAATTATTTTTTATTTTGTTCTCTTTTATTGTCTTTTTCCCCTTTGCAGACATGAAAAAAGGTTGGGGGAAATTGTATTCAAAAATAATATTTATATTAATGAGTCTATGTTTAAATATTATATCCAAGAAAAAAGAAGAATTTCAAATATCAGGGTGCCAAGACTCAACCCAGAACATGAAACTTATTGGGTTTTTTATTCTAAAAAATGCAAGCGAATTCTGAAGACATAAACATGGTGTCATTATATGATCCCTAGAGGTTGTGGTAAAATTTTGAGAAGGTTCCGTAAATTTTGTTATGTACACTACCTAGAAAATGAACCATGTTCAGGTAAGAATCATGGTTTTGAGAAGGAACAGGTCAGGTTTGATTGTGAAGTGTCGGTTGCTTCATTGGTTGACCTTGAAACTTTTTCTACAATCAATATATACCATCACATGTTCCATGTCAAAATTGGCCTTTCCTGGGCTCGTTGCTATATTTAAACCATTACGTGCATTTCTAGTCATTCAATTTGACGGATATAACTCAAATTCAAACTGTAAGTGTGTAAAAAAATTATCAAAAATTGGTTAAAAATTCTATTTGTGTCAATGAACTTATGTTTAGGCCTTATCAAAGAAAACAAGAGGAATTCCAAACATCCTGGGAAGCCAACTCGATCTCAAACATGAATCGTGTTGGTTTTTTAATTTCAAAAAATGCGAGTGAAGTGTGAGAAACATGAAACTTGGCATGGTGTTATTACCTGACACTTGGAGGCTGTGGTAAATATGTTTGAAGGTTTCACCAAATTTCATATCTTCAAGAAAGAATCGTGGTTTCGAGAGAGAATATGTAAAGTTTTTGAAGGTAATGATCATTTCTTTATTGTTTGACCTAGAATTTTTTTTATATGCTAAATATACACCATTACATGTTAAAATTTGGCCTTTTTCTGGGTTCATTTGATATATTTAATACATACATTAAGCGCATCTCTAGGAATTTAATACGTTGAGTGCATTTCTAGGCCCTTTTCTTGCTGGTATTCACTGAAGAGGCAGAACCCCTTGCTTGGCAAAGTGTATGCTAGTTTGTTTTGCCGAGTACCCATTTTTTGACACTCGGCAAAGGCTTCGCCGAGTGCGGCATGGAAAGAACTCGGCAAAGAGCACTTTGTTGGATGGATGTCTACTGATGAACCGCTCTTTTGCCAGAATCTGGGGATTCTCCCAGAATCTGACCCCTACCCAGCTTCTCCCAGAATCTTTGAGCCTCATTTGTTTTACAGCCCTATCTAATTAGACCCTAACTACATAGGATTGAAACAAATTAAGACCAAAGATTCTCGGAGAAGCTGGGTAAGGGTCGAATTCTGGGAGAATCCCCAGATTCTGGCAAAAGAACTGGGCCTGAGTGTGGTTTGCTGACTGTAACACTCGGCGTAGCCTTTGTCGAGTGTACCTATCACTATAGGAAAATAACTCGATTGACAATAGACTGTATCGTTGAGGCGATGGCCTGCCGAGAGGCACTAGGTCTTGCACTTGACCTGAACGTACGTGTGCCTTCTTCAGGTCGCTTCAGATTATCTATTGGTGGCAGAGGATATAAGTAAAGGAAGTAAATGCGTATATAGGTCTAGCCTCTTGAAACACTCGTCACGGCGAGCTTTCTTTAAAAATATTTTGTTTGAATTTGAGAGTAGAAATTCAAATAAGGAGGCAGATAGGCTAGCAAAACTTGCAATCTCTGTGTTGTTAGGCCGAAATACTTGGCTCTTGGAGCCACCTGATGATGTACCGTGTCCTTTCCAATAAAAAGGGAAAAACAGTGGTTAACATTTAACCAACATCACACAATAACTACTATAGATGAATATAGGTTTCAAGGACCGAATGTTAATGTTGATATGACCCTTATACGTACCAACAATACGAATTTGCAATCCTTAACAAGTACAAATTTGAGTCCTCACAGTGCCATACATCGGAAGTCCAGAACAATAACAATAAATATAGGTCACAAATGGGTAATTAAGGTGCAGTACGCACAAGAATAATCTTAGAAGTGCAGATTCTATTCGAGTATGCCTCCAGAATGCTTGACATACGTAGAATATTCTTGAATGTATATGCAAGGAGTAGATCATCACACTTCAGTTTATTTCTTCTTCTTTGGGACAAACTGTCGAGCCCGTATATGTTTTCCGCTGCAGGTCATGAACTTGACTCTCATGTTCCCATCTAGAACACGGAAGAGTGTCAACTGCGAGTAAAATGTGACGTGTGCGTATAAAGGTAGCCTGTCTTCGAATGGCACCTCTATAC